TCTGCATCCGGTTTGAGAAGAACGGATTTCCATCGGATATTCCTATGGGCCCCGAAGGCTTCCATGCGCGGACTATTCTAGACGTTTTGTTTAAAGCAGAGTTTCATTTGTTTATGTAAAAAATTAATTAAAGCTTTTACGAAGCTCGTGCAGAAGCATGATTTCATCTGCAGTATTGGAACGTGGAGAGAAAATGTTTTTCCATTGAGTGTTTATGCATTGAAATTAAAAACGGTTGTTTATATGGAGTATGTGATAGCAAAATATGAACCGAATGTTTGAAATAAAATTGATTCAAAAGTAATATATTTAATGTTTACATTGAATTCATATACGTATGAAAATATATAGCACTTCGAGTTACACATTGATGATAATATAGCTTAACATTTTATGGCTAATATAATAGTCATCAATTGCTAGGTACTATTAAATCATGGTGTGAGTGCGATTATACCTTTAGGTAAGTAGCATATATTTTTCGACATGTGTGAATAATCGACCCTACCGAGTTTCATCGAACCACTATTAAATTTGGATAAAGATCAAATTTTGGCTCACGTTAAAAAGTGCTGCTTATTGTTTCAACCTTTAATACATTTTTAAAATTAAACGACTCGTCATAGGGCGGTAATATTTTAGCTTCTTCTCTAAGACTACGATTTCTATCATTTAACAAGTTTCAAAAAGTTCGTCAAAATTTTGTTTAAATTAATAATCAGTTGGAGATGGTCCGTATGATCTTCATTAAAAACTAATCAGCATGATTTCACAATCAAATAAGGATTGTGTACTAAAACATGCACGATAAATTTCATAGTTTTTTGCTAATTATTAGGAAATGGCTTAACCGTTTTTCATAAAAACAAACTTTTCAGAAAGTAAATTTTTCTACAAATGAATAGTATAAGAAATATAATATAAAATTTTAAGTTTTTTTTTGCATTTGTTTGTGTTTTCACGAAATTCACTTTTTGTTATATAAATTTATTTAGATGTGCCGATATTGATGTAAATTTATTAGTATATAATTTGTTGTAATTGTTATTGCATTTTGTGGTTATTGTTTTTCACTAATAGTAATTTAATGACTTTTCTTTATTAACTTCCCGTAGGGTAGTTATAGTAATGAGCCAAAAATCGAAAATGAAATTTTTTTGCTTATCTTCATGTTTTGAAGGTTTCTGAACATTTTCGCATACCTCCAAAAAATTTATGTGTGTGTGTGTGTTTTGTATGTCCGCATTTTTCGTCCACGTTTTCGAGCGCACGGATCAACCGATTTGAATGGTTCAAAACCATTCGAAAACAGAAATCGAGGTTTCAGAAAACGGAGTATCCGATTTGAATGATTAAAAAAATATTCAATTTGTAATGATTGGGAGATGTTGTGTTTAGTTTTTGGCAAAGGCAGGTCCAGCCGTTTTGGATTTACGAGCTAAGTGTACAAAAAAGGGCAGTTTTTAAGAGAACTAAGCATTCGATTTGAATGATTCAAAAAACCTTCTGCTTATTTTGACAAAATGATTGCTTTCGGAAAAAATATTTCAAAATTTTCTTTTTCATTTTTTTTTTAAATAATTTTTTGTATATCGAAAATAAATCAGGTTTTTATTTTAATTCTTTATAAGCATAGTATTCATAATAATCTATTTCAAAACATTTAATATTCCTCGAACATTTCGTTACGGTACAGGAAGTTCCAGCTATTTGCCTTAAGGCACAATGCCATATACAACTAGTTGCATTTGCCTCTGTTTCGGTGACTAGATATTTCCATTTTTATTATATAAATCTATTTTGACCTACAGATGTTAGTGTACATCTATTGCTATATAATTTGTTGCACTAGTTATTGCACTTTGTGATAATTATTTTTCACTAATTCAATGGCTGTTATTTTCTTTTTTATATATTTTTATAAAAAAACAAATCAGTTGCCATTTCCGAATTTTGATTATAGTTAAACTTTTTGGAATAATGCCCGGAATGGATATTTTTTCAATTAGTGATCTACAATACAAAGTGACAAGATTACACGAAACGCACGGTTCGAACTCGATACCTCGTGGTTGCAATATCTAGATTTTTGCATCCACAAGGTTGCAAATATTTTATCCAAGACTCTACTAGTGTACAAATATTTAATCCAAGCCCACAATCACTGACAGTCATTTAGAATTATTATGTATAACCTTTGATTACAGTTGTCTTATCAAATTTTAAGATTTTCTAATATCGATTGCTTTTATTAACGTATTACTAAAAGTTATTCTTATCAATCATTTCTTAAAATATTTGCTTTTATGTTTTCGGTGCATATTTATACGACGTAGAATGGCTTCGCAAACCTACTCATTTTCCTGTCAATGTCAACACAAGGATAAACAAGACTTTTATAAAATGCAATAACTTTAATAAAATTGGGGCAGAACACCTGTCGTTGATATAAAAATTTTGTAACAAGATTGAAAGCTTCCAGCAAAAACACAATAAACGACAAGAGGTATTTTATGAGATTTTGTATGTTTTTATGAGATTTAAAGCATATTTAATATTCGCACGTTTCTCATACATATAAATGTTTGTAATAAAGCGGTATTAAAATAAATTAGTACATTCTAAATTCAATATAATTCTTCATTTTTCATTCCAATATAATAGATGTATTAAAAATATTATAATAAAAAAAACTAATAAAAATATTGACACCTTAATTTATTTTTAAATACAAGTAAAAACAATAAGTTTCCAAATAATATAATCGAATCACTGTTAAGATTACTTTAGAAAATCTATGTTTACCAGCTATCAAATTAAATAAAATTGAATATGTTTAGTTGACTATGTATTATGTGAATGTAACATCGCTAAAGACAGTTCTAATAAATTAAATTGCTCATCTATATTTTAGTAAAAAGTTAAATAACTAAAAATATATTACTAAGATGCCTAGTATATGTAACTTAAACAGATAATATGAAGCCAATTTTACATTTGACTGCAAATAAAAGTAGCAAAGCATGGCGATAATTAATAGATGATTATGGAACACTTTACATAGTGTTTTTGATCTTGTTTTGAACTAAGATATCAATAACATTTTTTTAGTTACTGTGCTTTCAGAGTTCTATGAGCTAAATAATTTATTCTTAAGATATGTTTATGAAAAGGTAATATAAAAAAAACATGGTTGAGAATAATTATGAATTACGTGTAGTTTTAGAAGACAATCCAAATAGTAAATTTAAAAAAAAAGTATGTTGATATAATATATTTTATTTGAGTCTTAAAGTCGGACGTAACGTCAATAAAAATAATATGAGAGTTTTCAGAAATTTATTTAAAATCCATACGTTTCGGCTTGCATCGTAGCCTTCATTCAGTGGCAATTAATATAACTATAAAAATTAAAACTAAATAAATAATATGTAAGAAATTTCAAAGAAAAATAATAATAATAATGAAAAAACACTTATAATTTTGTATCCGAATATAACAGATAAAAACATTTTTACTCCATGGCATGAGTATGTGCACAGTGGTAAAATATGTAATTTTTAACATCACAAATGACAAAACACACAAATAAATACGAATAACGTTTAGTAAGTTGTCGAAACTATGTATTGGCTATTTGGAGTCTGAGATAGAAATGTCACGTTTTTTTCTCAAAGCAGTTCTTAACATATGTTCAAATTTTACGAAAAATTTAAAAAGCGATGGAATCTTGTTATTTTTTAAGAAATTTTGACACTCTATTTAGCAATCATGTGTTTGTTTTGTTCAGGGCCGTGTTGTCAAATCGTATGTTTATGACTCTTAAGCGAATCTTCTTTTAATTACATTCCATTCAAAATGTTAAATTTTTGGGTACAAAAAAATCTATTATGTATTAAATTATTTATATGCTCGGTTAACATGGTCTTGAATTGTTTGGTATTTTTTGAGTTATTTTTATGTTGATGGAAGCGTTTACTCGGGTTTTGTCTAGTTTTTCCGAGCCACTGGGAGAAAAAAAAATCGAGAACATCCATAATAAGGAGTCATTATTAAGGACCACCCTAATATATATATATATATATATATATATATATACATATATATATAGGTTGAACTAAGTTTATAAGGACTCATAACTTGTATCCAATTAAGATTACAACTCACCTTCAGTGGAGACAACTCTGCATCGTGCTAAATCTGCTTTATTTGCAACTAAAATCACAGCTCTGGATGCCATACTTCCAGCTGTCCAAAGTGCCTGTAAACTTTCCTCGGCTACCAGGAAACTTTCACGATCAGAAGTTGAATACACGACACAATATGCATGAACTTCATATGACGTTAAGCAATTCTCAGGCTACATGGAAATACATCAAAAATATATCTTAATGATAACTGAATATATGAATTAAAGCTAATTGGTTATAAAGGCAACTATATGTCGCGGATTGGCCGGGGCAGTCGCGGATTTCCACCTTGCGTCCCGGGTTTTTCAAAAAGCGATATTTAATTAAAATCTCGTATTTAAATCTTTTGTCCCGGTTTTTGAAAAATTAATAAGTTAAGTAACAAAAATTAGAAAAACAAACAAACAAGTGCTAATTTTTTTCTATTAATTATGAAGAAAATTGAGTAAAATTTTATAGAAGGCTCAAAAGCGAAATAAAACATATAGATCGAAAAATATAAGATATAATATAATATCACAGATAAAAAAGATTACACATAATAGAATAAAATGGTTTTTACTAAAAGCACGCAATTCTGATTAAAAAAAATATTCATATATAAAAAAAATTGTATCCATAAATAGCATTTGTTATTTTGATAAAAAACTAAAATTTGCAATAATTTTAGGTTCGAATTTAATACTCACCGACATTTCGGAACTTGGAATGTCTACAAATGTTAATTCTGATTCTTCACCACCGAGTAAAACCGAGACAGACTTTTCACCAGAATCATCATCTGCAATAAAAAAATAACAAAAATAAATTATAATATAACAATTAAATACCATTAAAGCTATTTACCACAAACATCAATTTCTTTATTATATAATCCAATAGATAATTATGAAACTTAACAATTGACAAAGCTGTATAAACATATCTAACTCTTACAAATATAGTTAGAAAATAAAATTCCAATAAATAACGAAAAATATATTCCCGCGTACAAATATCTGATTAATGTTTTGAAAAATGGAATTGGAATTTTATATTTGTAAAAAAAATGTCAATAAAGTCATTTGAGGGTTCAGTGGGTTCATCAATTTTATATAAATACATGATTAAGGTTTGAATATTGGGGTTTCATTTTATTACAAACAAACCATCTTAAGTTAGTTCGATAATAATATAAATATTAGAAACTAAAATGATAATTTAAACCTTTTCAGCAGATAACTTTTCGAACTCTGTCGATAACTGTCTTGCTGATAAAGAAAATAAATCACTAATAATATCTCAAAAATAAGTAAAATTAGGTTTGCTATAACCAAAATATTTGAAAGTATGAAAAGATGATTAACCAACCATCATCTTGATTATTACTATAATATTTAAGTATACGTTATTCAATTGTTATATAAGATGTATTGTTATTTCATAAGTTAAAATTAACATATTTTTTATATAATCTCTAAAGCTTACATATGTGTGGGGCAAAAAGCTCCAACATAAACTTTACCCTGAAAAAAGTATAACAATAAGAAAATAGTGAATAAAATTTTAACAGAGTTATTCCAACTATTAAACTGTTGATGAATATCGCTAACGAAATACTAGATCAGAGTTTTATATGGTGTAATCTTTGCAACAAAATTGCAGATTGAATAAAGTAGTTATTATTACGTAAAGTCCTTTTAAAATTAAGATCAAAACATTGTCTCTGTTCGCCACCTTGTAAAAAAAGACAGACTCTTTCACTCAGTCTATGGGATAAAAGGATCAGGGGACAATTTTTTGAAAAACAGGAAATACATTTCTACAATAATAAATTAGCCGAGAGTTTTACTGAACATAGTCAGGAAGTTGTTTGTTTGACATGTGTTATTTGTTGTGATATAATTGGTGAAGGTTTCACAATATAATGAATCAAAATCACAAAGGACTTTTGTGCCCCGCCCTACTCTATATCATATATTCAAAAAAGACAAAACTAGAGAAATAGCACATAATTATAAAAAAAACATTGAACAAAAAGTTTGGAACTTTTTAAAAAATACATATGGTAAAATTTATTCATTCAAAATTAAAACCAAATAAACAAGCTGCAAGTAAATCCAATAATAAAATTTTAAATTGTGAATGCGTGCTGCTCAACGTCTATAAAAATATCCAATTTCAAATATCGATACTATCGATAAAGATATTCGCTTCTTATAAAGCTTCAAGCGCCGTAGTTGAGTTTTCTAAAGCATATCGTTATGTATATATAAAGAAGAAATTGAAGGAAACAGGTCATGCGAAATATCAATTTTGAGATGAATACGTGCTCATTTATACATTATAAGAACTGTTATTCATAGTTAAATGAATACAATTCATCATAAGGAAATATAAAATATTATTTCAACAATTTGACAGTCCATTTTCGAATTCAGTTTATATTTCATATTTTGCAATCATAGTATATCACAGGTGAACAGCAGTATTAATATTTACATAACATTTCTGTTTTGAATAACCATGTGATTCTGAAAACCAGTAGATACTGTAGTTTACAGTATAAAATAACCAAAAAGTTTTATCATTCTTTTTAGTAGAAAGGTAGATACAGAATTATAGATTCTGTTATTTTATATAAAAATAACCAATTACATTACACTACATAATTAGATCTTTGGTTCTAATTGTGTCAGAGAGATTGATTATATTTCTTCCATTAAAAATTTACTTTTAACCACTTAACTATGATTGACAAACAAATACCTAGATTAGAACAAATATTATATATCATATTATGACGAGTATTTTCGTCATTCGTATGATGCAGTGCCTATATGCTGTTTAAATTAATATTTTTGAAAACCCCAAAAGATATTCTGAAATTTCTAGTTCTTTAGAATACTTTGATTTAATGACTGAATAAAATAAGTAAGTGTTAGTGCGAATTGACCTTAAGGCAAGTTTAATGAACTTCCCGAATTGTGAAAATAATACACTTAATTGATACGAATTAAGAATTAGCTGTTTATCAAAAACTATTCCTAATTTTATACATTTACATATATAATATTTTATTCTTTTTAAATCATTTTTACTATGTAGTATAGGGTAAAGCTTGGTTCAGAAGTCCGCGGGTATAAAGATCCACCACCAGTAAAATTAGGAAATTTTGAACAACAATCTTTGCAAGTGGAGGTAGAAGAATGTATAGCCAGTCATTATTTTGATTTTTATGATATTGCTAATGATTATGATATTTCTTATATATTGAAAATCCATAACAAAAGTATTTTCTTTCAATGTTTGTTTTTTCGGTTTTGAGCACTGTTGTTTAGTTTACGAGACCTCAATATAAATTCTAAGTATACGTTATTTAATTATTCTATAAGAGGTATTGTTAATTTTGAATTAGATATTTAGATTATATATTAAATTAGATAGATAGAACCGTACTTTTTACATAACCTCTATAACTAGGGTAACTTAACCTCTACCCTGACAAAGGTGTAAAAATAAAGAAGTGTCAAAAAAAGGAAAAGTAAGATAAAATGCTATTTTATAAGAAATAAATTAAATAAATAGTTATTTCTACTATGCTGATGAATATTTCTGACAAAATACCAGATCAATGTGAAATTTATATTTTGCAATGGTTGATTAATACTGCTATTATTTTGTAAAATTCCTTTGAAATTAAAATAAAACATTGGATCTACACCTCCAGGACGTCTTATTGGGGTAAAAATAATTCGGTTACAAATTTTTGAAAAATGGCTGAAAAACATTTCTACGTTGATAAATTAGCTAGGAGTTTTACGGAACATAGTCAGATAGTTTTTAGTTTGATATATGTTATTTGTAGTGATATAGTTGGTTTGGTTTTCACAATATAATTGCTCAAACATAAATCGAAAAGTTATTTATGCTCAGAATTTCATCAATTATCGTATAATTGATTAACTTAATTAAGTGCAACAAAATCTGTAAATCACCTTAAATACTTTTGAGCAATCGAAAAGAATTAGTGCACATGAAAGCGGAAAATTTTTACAGAAATGTGAGGCCAATAACCTAAGCAAACAAAAGCAAATGACTGATCTTATTTTATTTCATGTCACAGCAAATGACTTAATTGATTAGCATGAGATACTAGAAAACATTAATTTGATATTCCCGAGACAAGGACTAAAATCAAACAGACTTCAAAAACTATAAAAACTATATGTTGAACGGTCCCGTAAATAGGGTAGCAATGGTTGTCAACACAACAAAACTAATATTTCAAATATAACATTTATTAATATTGTCAAAAAGAATAATACTTATTAAAATTTGTTAGCATTACTAATGTGTTTGTGTCTACATATGTGCATTTGCGGGTGTGTGTACATGCGTATGTATAGGTACCCGTATGTGATTGTATAAATAACATAGGATTACATTGAGTTACATTACTATATAATTAACTGAATATAACCGATTTGCGTTTATTAAATAAATAAATAATATATATTCATATGAGTTTTATAATTAATAAATAAATAAATGAAAAAAAAGTATCTATCAGCATTGTTCATAAAATGCAACAAATGTCCATAACTTATATTGCGGTTTTACTATTTCAAAGAATATTTTTTGTCAATAAGAGTTATTAAGAATGTCTACAATTTACAAATTTTAGTACTAGTAGTCATCAGCGTTTCTACCCTATATGCCTCAGAAACAAATATATTGTGTTCTCTTAGAAAATACCAAAAATAAGCACAAAACTAAACCGCCCACGAATTCGAGCCTTTCACTTTTATTTTCGTACATATGATCTGATTAAGCGACTCAGTTATCTTCACCTGAGCTGTTCGGTCGGGGACCTCGAATGATTTATTGTTAGTAATATCGAAAGTATTGCGACCAACCTATAACTACAATGGATCTAATTTATTACCCGACTAAAGTCTTTCGTATTTCGACAAAAGTCATATTTTCTAGCAGGTAATTCTGTTGTCAGACACAACTCGCTCTTGCCATAAATAAATTACATTTTACGATAAATTAATTTCTAGCCGATGCGTAAACGGGTTCTTGACCTGTGGTGGCGAAATAAATAAATATCGATCCTTGGTTTTGTGGCATATTTATTTTGGACAATAGAATATAAAAGTACTCCAGAAATAATTAAATTCAGAATTTGAATGAAGACCAATAGTCAATAATTAGAAACAATAAACTTTCTTTTATTATGCAAGCAAATGTTTAGTATATGTTGTAAGATATTGTGATCAGTCTTTCTGCATAGTTTGACGAAAATAATTTGATGTATAAAAGGTAAACAATATTTTTACCGAAAAAAAAAACAATTCTTTTGAATTCTTTTAAAAAAACGACTTTTCTGAAAATTTGGAAACTTACAAGACGATTTTTGTTTTCAACAACGAATAAGAAAACGGCTCGGTAGATTTTCACCTAAAACTAATCAGTATCATTCCCTACTAATACCTTTCGAACAGTTATTGATTTTTTAAAATAGATTCGGTAGCATGGGCTTAAATTTGGACAAAAAGTTTAACACTTTTTTCCAAATTCCAATGGAACGGCTCGGCAAAACTGACAAGCAATAGTCCTCATTGAGACACATCAAATGGGTTTTAAATTTCTGAAATCGGTTCAGGCGTTTTTGAGCAAACGTCGATGAAAGTTCTAATTTTGACAAATGCCAAAAAAACGATAATAATTTTTGCAAATTTTGACGAATTTTTAAAGCTAAACGAGTAATCATAGGA